CATTCTTCTTGGCAGGAAGTCTCGGCTCGTTGGTTCACTTCTTCTTCCGTGGCGCCATATTTGTTGCAGAAACCTTTGGCTGATGCCAAGCAGCTGATTCTGCCGTTGCCTCTTGTTTGGAGCTCACAGGGAGCATCAGGCTCGGAGCCTCGGACAGAACTCGGCTGGTGTCGGACCATATGTGGCTGGTCTGGACTGGGTCTGCACCATATGGGTGCTGCAAGCTGCTCCTCTAAACCAGGGCTCTGCAACCTTTGAGCCATTTCTGCCCCTTCACTCACTAAACAAGAGTACGCCAGCGTCCCCCCATCGCTGACGGGTTCGAACAGTAGTTCTGGAGACGAGTGTTCTGGACTGAGACTGAACAGGAAATGAAAGTAAACCTAAATGTTTTTGGTGCAACATGTTCAGCAGGGGAGGAGTAACTGTGGAAAGCAGAGCAGAGTGACGGATCCTGGAGAGAGGAGGGAAACATTTTATCCACCACCAGGAGCAGTGGAGGAGCCAGGGGGTGGCGAGTGGTGGCCTTTGGCCCCCGTAGATTAATCTTCAGTCACCCCAATCATTTAAGGAAACTATACTTTTAAGCAATATTAAAAACTGGAAAGCAGAGTTTCCTCAAATGATCGGGTGGACGGTATATGGTGGTAGCCATCTTGGATTTTAACATGGCAACCCATTTCTAAAAGGAACCATTCTTACGCCACACACCAAAATGGACGTCGGTACATCACTTATTTTAGTTATGTTCACAACACGCATGATGATGATGGACCCTCTTTGCTCTACAGCGGGAGACAGAAAATAAAAATGTGTACGGAGTTATAAACCTGCTTCAACTGGGATTATCAAATGGTGGCAGTTTACACCAGTTTTGATAAGAATTAAAACCCTGAACTCTGCAGGCCTGCACGAGTCCTCCTGTTTCTGGAAACATCACACTTTGAAGTAAAATTACATAAATTTTGTGATAAAAGTTAAAATAAAATTGACCTTTTTACTAATGTACTAAAGTTAGAGAGGCCAGACTGACATGGTTTGGACATGTCCAGAGGAGGGACAGTGGTTTGGACATGTCCAGAGGGGGGACAGTGGTTTGGACATGTCCAGAGGAGGGACAGTGGTTTGGACATGTCCAGAGGAGGGACAG